GTCCTTGCAAGAGGAAATGTAAGTAAGGCCCAAGAATCTAGAAAAGCTAAATACATTCACATTGAAATACCTGAGGAGTCTTTCCTTTTCCTTCTGCTTTGTACAAAGCGTCTTCCTCTTTTTCCTGTATTTCTTCTTGAACTTCTTCTTCCTCCTCTTCGTCATCACTTGAGGAAAGACTTTCAATACTTACGTCACCACTTTCAGCTACACCCTCAATCTTGCGAGTCACTATAGTGGTTTTCTCTCCACTTCGTCCTCCTCACTTTCTTCGAGTACTTCCTCTTCTCCATCTGAAATTTACCAAGTCTCAGTATATGGAAGATTGATGTATTTCATAAGGAAAGATGGAAAATGGAGTTTGCAGTGAATACGTTTATACCTGGAGATAAAGGCTTGAAAGAAGCTAGTATGGAATCATAGACAGTTTTATGATTTCTTGTCCGGGTGGAGGAATGTAAGTTGACCACCATACATTGAATTCATTGGTGGATTGAGGCTTGCTAGTATGGCCTTAGAAGTTAAAAGCAGCTCTTTCTGCTGCATAAGCTTGATCAATTGCTGCGAATTGTTCAGCATCTGTGAGATGAACACGTTGGTCAAAGAATCTGTTATAAGATTTGTAAGGCGACAATGGAATCATTTGGCAAAAACCCATTTGCCTTGCCAGCTGGGTTGGATTGTAGAACTCAACACCGCAGAAGCTATTGTTTAGAGTAGGTTGGGCAATGCTATAATAAAGGTCATGACCAAGAAGAAAGCTGGCCCAAATATTTTTCCAATCTTCAGAATGTTTTTTAGTAGACACTCTAGGAGATAGAACCAATGGCGGTGAATGGATCAAAGAACCCAGCGTTACCAGTTTCACATTGATTATAGAAATACTAAAAGTTTTCAGCACAATTGAAAGGAGAAGGATCTGCTGTTGCCAAGGAATGGCACAGAAGGGATTTTCCAGTTGGAGTGATTAGGGGTGAAGTTCTATTTTAGAAGTACACCTTAAGCCATATCTGGAATAACCAGAAGGGGCCTTAGAACCTTGAAAACTTTGAAGTAAGAAGGTCATAAAGGCCTCTGTATAAGTGAGAAAGCATAAGGGGAGCTAATGCCAAATCTCCATTTCTGGTTAAGGAAACTGCCACTTGAACGAAGTCCTTTATGACTTGGCCAGATGGAACACACAGTAAATGGCTAGAAATCCAACATATCAGGAAAGCAATGTGTTCATCTTCTTGAACTGGGCCAGTTTTCTTACAGTGTTTGATGAAAGGAAAAAGGGAGGATATCAATTTCTTACTTCCAGTGGTCTTGGTAGGGAAAAGGAATGGTTCAATAAAGAGGGTGGCGCTTACATCATCTCCATAGGGTTTAAGACCTATAATGCAACAAATATCTCTCAAAGTGGGGGACATCATTCCACATTTAAGGTGAAGAGAATTGGTGGTCGAAGACCAAAAGAAAAGTGCTAGAAAGAGGAGGTTCGGATCAAGGGTAATGGAAGACTTACTAATTTGAATAATGTCAAAGATGCATTGTTTTTTCCATTAGGAAGAAATCTTTTCGTCCTTGGAGAGACGATTCACTCAAGAAGACCAGGACGAGCTATATGTTGGCCAATTTCTTATACTAAAAGAAGGTTTCACTTTTTTCCCTTTCTTTGAGATAAGGGGGAATTCTAAATCAAAAGGGAGGGGGAATTTACCGGAAGGATAGAATTCGGCCAATTCAGAGGGGGCTACGTTAGTAAAGGCTGGACCCAATCCAACTGAAGAATCTTTGAAGTGAATTAGAGGTTCAAGATGAAGCTTAGCAGGGTTTAAAGACTTTAAGAGTACTTGAACTTGGTGGCTATGGCTTCGAGTCTTGATTTTAGTTTGAATAAAAGGAGCTGGCAGAGATGAGCTAGTAGTTTGTTTGGAAGGTTTTTTAGAAGCCATGGTGTGTAATTTTTTGTGGATTGAGATTTTCTTTTCTTCTAGGGTTTTAGAGGAAGAAAATAAGATAGAAGGAAATTTTTTATTGGCAAACAATAAGGATGGAGGATATATATAGCAAACGAGGCGTTAAAGTCTTGATACGCCTTTTGAGGATGAGCAGTTGGAGAATTTCAAAATTCAAAAGGAGTAATAACGAGGATTGGGAAGTTTGGAAGCTTTAAGCCATAAATGGATAGGATTTCTTTTGAGATACGGGATCAGTAACAAAGGAGATTGTTTGCAGAGGAAACCGAGGGAACAACCACATGTTACAAGGACTTTCCTTTAATGATTATCTTGAATTTTCCAAGAGTCTAAGGGGTATTTATAGGGAGTTTGGTTGGAATTTTGAAATTCAAAAAGGGAAAGTAAAGAGATTTTTATGGGAAACCATAAATAGATCTTTTGGGGGCGCACGACACTTGGGAGGTTGGTGGCTGGAAGAGATTAATATGGTAGGAACTGAGGAGATTAATTATGTTAAGTATTAAGAGATTGAATAACCGTGGCGATGATATTTTTGATGGCGGAATTCAAATCCCACGCCTTATTATCAAGTTGTTCTACAAGGCATGTAATTTGGAGGGCATATGTTTACCCTATTATTTTGCCCAATGGAAAGAAGACAGATGACGAGTTTTGACAAGCTTACCATATTAGTCTAGTATTCTAATTATTCAAGAATAGGAAGGTGTGACATGGAATTGTTAATGTGGTCTATTAATAGAAAAGATGTATATGGCAAGTTCCAATTGAACTTGCCATGTCAAAGGGTAATACTGACAAATATTCCTTTGGAATATTAAAACCACGAGAAATTAAAAGGAAGTGGTGAGTCTCATTAGGACTTACTTAACTTGGGTTATAATGTCCTAAAAGGATAAGAAGGCCACATGAGGTTAGTTACCATGGGTGCAGCTTTATAAGAAGATTAAAGTCAAAGATCAACCGACCAATAATTCATCAACACGTGGTGAGCTTTATTAAACTTGCCATGACAGATCAATTCTTTTAAAGTTGAATTTATTAGAAGATCCTATTTTTTTTTATAGGATATCAATTAAATGGATATTTTCCATTTAAGATCAAAATTGACCACGTCAAGAAAGGAAAAAAATGCGGGATTGGTTTCCTCCTTATTTTTAGGAAACTCCAGCAATCGCTCAAGCCAAGTCAACTTCTATTGATAAAATTCAGCGGGACGTAGGGATTTAATTTGTTTCTTTGGATATATATATATATGTGCGAATATATATATTTATTAAGCTTAACCCACGATGGAGTAATTATCGTGAAAAGGGAGTCCATAACGCCTTGAATTCTTATTCCATATGAGGCAAGGTTGAAGAGAGGTTGCTAGAATTGAGGAAGTATGCCACAACTACAACCCATGGCGTAGACTCGGTGACCATGACGCTATGAAGTTAATATGGAAAGCCCACAATGAATCAAAGAAGGTGCTGAAGTTTGGAAAGAAACCCACGATACCATGAACTCTATAATTAGAAGGAAAGTCTCAAGAAAGGAAGTTACAGGGATTAAGGATACTGACCCACTATGAGAAGATGCTAAAATTTAGGAGACCATAGAATTATTTATGGAAGTCTAGTTGAAGGAGGTTATTAGAATTAAGGATAACGTGGGCCTACAACTAACTTCTATATACCTGCATGATATATATGGAAGTTACATAGAAATTAGACTTTGTAGAAGGAAGGATTACTAAGGAACGTAGGTCACTTGATTCACTACAACAGCATCAGTTGGAGGTGGTGGTGTCTCAAGCAACTGCTACCACTAACTAAAAGTGGTAATCATGTTCAAGTTGGAGAAGGGGTTTGTGGGAGATAGAGGAGGAGCATGAAATATGGGACGCGTATTAATTTATGAGAAGACTACGGTATGAGTTCATAGAGGTTATAGAGAAAGTGGTTGAAGTCTGCAACAGAGAAGGGAGAAGTTGGAATGAGGGAGTTACAACTATTGAGAACATGGGAGACTTGGCAGTTCAGAATTTGGCCACGTGGAAGCTACATAAGCTGCCACATCAAGTTGCTGTATGCATGGAAAACTCTATAAATAGAGCACTTAGAGCTAATTTGTAAACCCTGTTCAACTCACACAACCAACAGCACTTCAATTTCTTTACATTCATGTAATGCAATTTCATTATGTTTAATTCAAGTCCCGCACTTACTATTCATATTTTCCAGCACTTTACTTTGAAGTCCGGCACTTTCAATACAGCTTTCCTTTCCATTAGCCATAGTTCAGTCCGTAAGTCTTTTTTGAAGGCAAAAAGAACCTTTAAAGGTGGTAATTCCAGTCCTTCATTCAATCGTCTAATCTTTATAATCTCCTACTGGATAGTTGTTCCGATATCCACTTTAGAACAACAATAGTTCCCGGCACGCCCGACATCCATTCCTACTTTCCACTCACTTAGAAAGCGGAATTAGCACTTTTTCGCCAGCCGAACATATTGGCATGCCCGGCGGGACATTCTAGTCAGACTGTTCAATGGCCGGTGGAAAAAGGCAAGGCAAATCTGTCCAAGACCCTGCCGAACTAGAAGAGATGCAAGTCAGTGAACTTTCTACTGGAAGTTCACGATTCGCACCTGATGAAAATGATATGGTGGAAAAATTTGCTCAAACAATGGCAAATGGACCCATCATGGACAACATCTGCATGATGGCAATGCAGCAAGATAGGCTTGCGCAAGACTAAGTAAAAGTCGCTCAAGACTTAGCCAGAGTTGCTCAAGACCAATCTAAAGTTGTTATTTCTCAAGAACGGAATTTAGCAGAAATGGTGGACCAAATCTCTTGTAGGTTTGAGTCCATGTTGGAATGAACCCTTAGAAGCTTAAACCAACGTTTGGCCCCTCGGCCAAACAACTCTGAAGGGTCTCAACAGTCGGCCTTCTAAGCTAGTAGGCCGGCCACATTTGTTAAAGGGAGTTCCTCTCAACAACATGCAGTGTCGTTCCCTCCAACTCAGTAGCAGTTGCAGTCTTTTCCAATGGCACAGACTTACACTCCAGTTGCACCTGTAACTGCTCTAGTGGCACAGATGATTGTTCCACAAGTTGCGCCCATGCCAACCATCCAGCAAGTTCAGAATCCTCTACCTGTGTCATTTCCACAGCAGACTTGGCATAATCAGCCTGGCCAACCATGGCCATACCACAACTCTCAAGCACAACAGAATGTTCCACCTGTGAACATTCAGCCAGTCGCACCTGTTCCAGCAAGGCCACCCATGGTCATTCCTATGGCGGTTGGGGGGCAACCTTTTCCAAGGGAGCCATTTCTTAACAAAGAAGGAAAGAACCGTGGCAGGAATAATTATGTAGATGCCAACCCCTTGCTTATGGCGGGTGGGGGGCATCAAGTGTTCAATCAATCTCAAGGTTGGCCAGACAACAACCTTCTACACCTATGGTGCTTGATAGAAGCCAATTTGCAGAATTCCTTTAACATGAATTTGGCTTAACTCGAAGGGGTGGAAGGCCATCTTACAGAAAGACCTATCCAGAGTTCATTGATGAAGTTAAATTTCCAAGGAATTTTAGAATTCTAGAGTTTGCAACGTTCAATGGAGAGGGTGAAAAATCCAAATTGGAACATATCAGCCAGTTCACTATTCAGTGTGGAGAAGTAGCAGCCAATCCATGGCTGAAGCTACGCTTGTTTCCAAATACACTGACTGGGTATGCTTTCAGGTGGTATTCCAACTTGCCAGCCAACTTTATCCAAAGTTGGCAGCAATTTAAGGATTCATTCCATACTCAGTTCTATAGAGTTGAGCCCGAAGTGTCCATGACAGACCTTTCCAGACTTCATCAATTACCTGGAGAGTCAATGATGAGCTTCCTTTCCAGATTCAGGCGGGCTAAGTTCTAATGTAATTTGTCTTTGCCGCCGGAAGAATATGTGAAGATGGCTGTAAACGGCCTAGAATTTGAACTTCACAAGAAGTTTGAAGGTGTACAATTTCATGACTTATTTGTAATGACTCGGATTTTTCTAATAATTTTTTTTTCCGTTGTCTTTTCCCTTCTGAGTTTGGTTTCTTGTTGATTAGTGTCGTCTCGAGTGCTCTGGAGTGATTTCCGAGACTCTTTTCTTTGGATTGACAACTTCCTTTGAGGACCGAATCATTTTCACATTTTTCGTTTTTCGACACTATTCACTTTTCGTCCTTTTCCCTATTTTGTTTTTTTCCCTTTTGGCACTTTGTTTGCGTAACCACACTTCTTGTGTTTAGAGTTGGTTTCTGACTTCACGTATCTTTATTCTCAATGATTTCTATGAGATACGTATCTTTACTTTCGTGAGAAAGTACTCTGGTTGCTCCCGGTGCCCATAGGGGCATAAATGCAAAGTTCTTTGAAAACTTTTTCTTTTCTTAGGTTGTTTTTCATAAATATCTTTTGAAGATTTTTTATTTCAGGGGTATCTATTTTTTTATCTTTTGGAAGATATTTTCATTCTGGGGCAATTTCGCAGTTGTCACTTTTTGGAGGGGCCATTGTGCAATTAATGAAAGTTATTACTTAATGCCTTATTTTGAGCCTAGATCCTCGTATGGGATTCATTTTCACATTTTGTCGAGTCGTCGACTCTTAGAATTTCCTCCTGGACAATGTTTTCCAGTTTCAGGGTTTTTGGCCCCAATTTGCACCAAACTTGTTTTGGGAATAACTCTCTGCTCGGGACTTAGTTTATGACGCCGTTTCTTCCGTTGTTCATATTTTCTCATTTTGAATCTTGAGTTTCCCGTTTGAGCATGTCTGCTCAAATTTCACTTTTCGGACCCGGCGGGGCCCGTTTGGGCCACTTTTTGAGTTTTTCTATAAATAGGAGGTCTTTAGTGAAAAAAATCAGATTTCACTCTCTCTCCCCCCTTTCTTGGCCGGATCTCATGGCAGCCATGGCTGCCATCTTCTCTCTCTTCTTTTGAGCTTCCTCCCCTCACTAAAAAGTGGTGATGCCTTTATGTTTGTTGTCCCCAACAAAACCTAGGAGTTTCGTCGGCTTCGGAGCCGATTTATTTTGGTGGGGATTTGAGATTTCATCTCAAATGGAGGTAGGGAATGTTTTAGGATTTTATATGTTTTGTATTGTATGTTTTCCATGTTTATACAACCTATATGCATGCCTTGTATCAAATCTAGGAAATTTGAAATATTTAATTCTTTGTATAAGATTTAATTTTCATGATGATGAGAAATTTGAATTTGAATTGTGGCATGATAGAAACTCTTGTTTTAATATGTTGGCTTACATATATTAAATTGGGATTAATTAAATAAGAATTGCTCTTTTTAATTAATATTTATCTTTTGTGAAAGATTTAAGTTCATGACCGTACCTTGCATTAAATTGAGTTATATTATGCTTGTAAATTGAGTTTTGGCATGTTTGTTAACATACTTTAATTTGAGAGCATTTGGTTGAGTTTGGAAATTTAGAGACTTTAATTAAGAGAAATAATTAAAATCTATTTTTTTTGTGGTTTCATGGGCCTAATTAAGCTTTTGTGTGAATATATGTAATGACCATGATATGTCTATTAGCACGTAATAAATTGGGGCCAATTGGAAATGATTTGAAATCTAGAGAGTTTAATTATTTTGATATAATTAAATTCTATCTTGTTTATCCATGGGTCTAATCATGTTTTAGAAGTTGTTTCTAATTTAAGAGCATGGATTTAGACTTGTGATGTATTCACTTGATTGTGTTATATGCATTGAAGAGCATTGTTGTTAAATTTATATTCATGAGAGTATGTTTCTAATATGAATATATTGTTGGCTTGTGATTTTATATCATTATGGATATGAAATGCTTATTATGCACAATTGAGAGTTATATTGCTAACTTGTTCCTATGTAGTAGTAATATGTATAAGTTATGAACTTATTTGGTTTATTTTGGAGTCTTGGGAAACTGTTATTACTTGTGATATGTCCAAAGTTCGGCTTTAGTGCGGGAGGTATGAGTTCTCCCCAATAGAGATAGTACGCACTTAGGGTGGTTTTCCCTGCGGGTTATTGCCCGGAACAACCATTTTATTCTCGGCGGAAATTCGAGACGTGATGTCCAAGTCTTCCACTATTTGATTTCGCATTCAATTCCAAGTTGACAACTAATGTTTAATTATGACTTGTGACTTTGGTTATTGGCGATTTGATGTTGTTAAGTACATCCGTACTAAATTGATATATTTAGTTGAGTTCACACTTTTAGATTTCTAGTTGATAACCTAGAGAATCTATGTCTTGATGTGTGGTATTAGATATTCTAATTTTGCTAAATTGTTATATTTAGTTGATGTTGCATTTTAGACTTCAAGTTGATAACCTTAAGAATCTCTATGTTGTTGCTTTGTGTAAGCATGCTCTTATGTTGTTGCTTTATGTAAGCATGCTCCTATGTTGTTGCTTTGTGTAAGCATGCTCCTATGTTGTTGCTTTGTGTAAGCATGACCCTATATTGCTAAAATTGCATGAAATAGGTGGTTGATGCTAGAAATGATCTTAGGTTGCTAGGATGCTCCTTCAGTCTCACATTTGACATAGACGTTAGGTGGAATGAACCACAATAATTAAATCATGCAAACTTGTAAAACGTAGGTCGATGCATGCTCATTTCCTACGAGTAGCTTTATGTTACTCACCCCTACGATACTGGGGCATATTTCAGGTACAAGAGTTAAAGTTGAGACTTCCATTTTGCTTGGATGACTTGTGGACTTGAAGATTTCCATTTTGTGAAGATTGGTTTGAAATGCCTTAGCAACTTTATATGTCAAATGTGTATATTTGATTCTAAACTTGTAATGTGTGCCTAAGCACACTTTTTGATTCTCATTTTATGTTTATAACATGAGGCCAAGGGCCAAACTTCTTTTGGAATTACATTTGTATCATGGATGTTAAATTTTTACCCTTAATGAGATCATATGAAAATCATGCGTTCTAATATGCTATTTTGCACCGGAGCGTGTATTGTGTATGAAATTAGTTATCTAGAATTCATTTAATATGTATGAGGTGTGGCCAAAGGCCAAACGGTGTTCTGAAGTCATTTCAAGATTTTAAATTCCAAGTTTTCGTTCCAATCTTCATTTTTGGCATTTTGGCCATTGGGGGGTCATATTTTGTGTTGGCCATATTTTTGGGCTATGGACCATTGTAGCACATCTTACTAAGTAAGTTACATTTGCGTGCATGGTTGTTTCTGGGCAAAGTTTCTTCTTTGGTGAAATAAGCCTCATACGGACTCATTTTACACTTTTGTTGCAAATTCTGACCTAAGGTATTTTGGGAATTTATTTTGGGAAATAAATTCCGTTCTTTACATGGCCACTTAGAAAATGTGATTTTAGGGGGCATTTCTTCTTCGTGTTTTTCCAGAAAATGCCATCTTGGTATTGGAAATCAATCGCAAAGTTCAGCTTCTGTTTTTCCATTTAGCAGCTTTTTGGACCATTTGGACTAGTTTTCTTGGGAGGGCATTTTGGGCATTTCACAGTGCGTATTTTTCGATTTTTCTTAAAATTTATGTAGAAAATTCAATTTTGAGGGGGGTTTCTTCTTTGTGTTTTTCCAGAAAATGTCATCTGGGGTCTCAAAATCCTATTTTTTCCCGAAAAATCCCTACTGCCAGGTTTTCCTTGCTGAGTATTCTGCCCCCTTTATATCTAAACGGTTACGAGAAGTTTGGTAACCAGTTACATGTGCTTCGGCAGTGTTTTGGTCAAGTTTTTTGGTGTCCTAACCGGTTAGGAAGGCTTGGTAACCAGTTAGATGATCTAGGGTTTGCACTTTTTGACCGTTTTGCCCCTTCTTCTTCCGTTAGCCATATCTTCTTCATCCGGACTCCGAAACAAGTGATTCTTAAGTCTAAATTCACTAATTTTTTGTTGTCTTTCCAATGGTGTGCTTGGTGGCACCCACTTTTTAGCTGGAAATGATGTTTTTGCCCCTAGGTTCATTCTTGTTCGTTTTTGAAAACGTTACTTCCGCATTTAATTCGTTTGGGTTCCGTGACCTCGTTGAGGGTCATAATGGTGTCTTAGAGCCATGTTGTATCTCTAGAGACCGTTGTTTGTCTTTTGCTTCCACATTTTGGATCCGTTATCGAGTCATCTTTCGGTTCATCACTAACTCACCGAGTTAAAAAACTTGGGCCGTCACATTATTTGACTTGGCTAGCAGAGTGGCTAAGTACGAAGAGCTCCTTTGTGAGGAGCAAGACCAGAAGAACTCTTCCAAGGGCGCTTACTATTATGATCCTAATTATGAGGTGTATACCATTGAAACTAAAGGGGAGTTTGAAGTAAATGTAGCTGAGCTCAATATAAAGAAGGCCTATACTTATGAGGTCTTGACATAACCAAAATTAGTCACGGCCAACTCACAGGCCGCCTCTTGTTCCAAGTGGAAGGGGGCAGACCCTTCTAGAAGTTACTCTTTTGACATCTCTAAAGCCGAGCAAATTTTTAATTTGCTCATGGTTGACAAGCAACTGATTTTCGCAACTGGCCATAAGATGCCATCGGCCTCAGAAATGGCCGAGAAAGAGTATTTCAAATTTCACAATTCATGGAGGCATTCCACTAATAATTGTGTGATTTTTTATAATATAGTGCAAAAGGTGATTGAAGATGGCAGGTTGAAGTTTTCAGAAAAAATAGAAGTCATGGGTGTTGATGAAAATCCTTTCCCCAAGGTTGTTGCCATGAATGTTACTTCCCTTGCCACGGAACACCCTAAGAAGAAGGTGGACTTGGTAGATTCAAAAGCTAGTAGAAAACTTGAAAGTCCTGAAGCTGCAACATCCATGGAGAAAACGGTGGCCGAGTTGGAAAAGTAACCTCGTGAGGCTCATTT